TAAGATAGGATACTTGCTGTCAAAGAACTTTTACTATTAATATTAATTATTTTATAAGCATTTTACTGAGGTCTCAGTGCTAACTAGGCCTTAGGAGACAATGGTAAGCAAAAAGGGCCTGCGTCCTACCCTTGCTCGGAATAGCTCAGCCATGTAAGGGAGAACATAGTTGAGCCCACAAATAGATTCCATGCACATGGTAGACTGTTTGATTTGAAGTTACATTTTAATTTGTTGTAGACTTTGATCAGCCAAATCTTGGTTTTCAGACATGATGGACAAAACCTATTATCTTATTTATTAGTAGTGATTTAGTGGGTTAATAAAACTGATATGGCAGCTGCTCTTATCATAGCAAGTTATTGCAAGTCCCTGAACAGCTTAATCTCATCATTTCCTTATCAGTCATCATTTGTGTAGTGTAAACTAACATCAGGGCTACTAGCTCAATGGGAACATATGTTTCAGGAATTCTGTATAAGGACTGAAATGGAAAAGAAGAAATATAGGTGCAGGTATAAATTTATCAGCAAATGAAGAACAATATTATACACAAATTAAATATTGTAGTAGTATGAAAGAACAGCAATAATTTCATTTGTCCTATTAAAAATCTCTTATATTTTATAACATGTTCACTTTAAAATGTAGCCACAAACATTAGTTAATAATTCTTCTTTATTCATGAATTGTAAATTAGATCTGTCTTTGATATAAGGCTAGGGACAGTTGATTATAATGGATGAACGCAATTCTGTTAGATAATCATAAAGGCTGTTTATGTTTTCTTGGAGAAATTAGCTAATCATCCCCAGGATTTTTGAGCATTTATCATATATTTTCTTCAATAAAAATGAATAATAGTTATAAAGGGAGAAAGAACTGTGAAATATTTTTATTCAGAGTAACCTATAGGATAAGCATCAGGCAGTGGTATATAAATTAAAATAACTAGTTATTCCACAGTGAGACAAATCTGACTTTTTACTTAATATGCATCAGCATATATTCTTGTTATGTTAGAATATTCATGATAAATATTCTCTAGCAAGATTTATTGGAGGTAAGTCTATTAACAGCAACATAATGCTATAAAATGTTTCAAGTGAGGTGAAAAATCCATGTATACTTTTCATGAACTCACTCTCCCCAGTTTTATGAGATTTATCTTTAGCTGTTAGGAAGACAGAGAGCTGCTCATTTATTATCTCTCCCCCTCTGTTTTCAAAGACACTAAATCATCACTCAGATGACAACATGTACCTAGTTAGACTAAAAGGAAAATTAAAGGGGAAAGATTATTTTATTGGCTCCAGAAGAAACCGGATACAAAATGTGCTAAAACATTACAACGGTCATTGCTAAATATGGAGATTTGTGTTGGCAGCAACAGTCTTTCTGCCTAAATACAGTGATTTTATGGCCTTCATATATATTGATTAGATATACAACTTTTGTTCAACCCCAGTATTTTACTGATGACCTAGAAATGCAGTGTCAGGTAGTGGTTATTAAAAACTCTTGGCTTTAAGAAAATTTATGTTTAATCTGTTTCTAAATTCCTGGAAGAACACACTAATTTGTCAGATAAATGTTTGAGGATTTTTCTTTACAGTAATATCTAATGGGGACTACAATGAAGGGGAAAATAAAGTTCTCTTCCTCTAAATCTTAGAGTTTAATAGGGAAGGTAATCCATGTGCACACATACCAATGATACAGGGACAAAGCCACTTGGGACAAATGACCAAGAGAGTTCAGGGGAGTTCAGGAGTTTTGCCTGAGAGACAAGGCAAAGCCTTCATGTGTTAAAGCTATGCCTTGCAGCATGAGTAAGAAATGAGAGTTCAGGTGTAGGGCAGGTGGGGGCTGGGAGGAGGGGATGGGTAAATTTACACCTAATGGGTGTGATGCACACTGTCTGGGGGATGGGCACACTTGTAGCTCTGACTTGGACAGTGCAAAGGCAATATATATAACCTAAACGTTTGCACTCCCGTAATATTCTGAAATTAAATAAATAAATAAATCAAGTTGGGGGGAAAAAGAAATCAGGACAAGATGGAAGAAGGGTATTCCCAATGGAGAGCACAACAAAACAAAAGCACCAGGGTAAAAAGCACAAGATATTTATAGAGCACAGGCAGTACTGACAGTAATAGATAAGTTTATCCAGTACTTGTGTAGAGTTAAAGGAGTTAGTAGCCTTCCTTACATCATGTTGGATAAGAGAGTCTTTAACCTTACCAAATTTTAAATTGTGCTGATATGTTTAAGTACATAATACCATATGCATGCCTTTAATTGACAAGTTCTTTTTACAGTTTTCTTTATGACACATTGTTATTTTTAACTTTTTTCATATTATTTATTCATTTATTCAACAAATGTTTATTAATTTCCTATTATAAGGCACTTATATTTTAGAAGGAGTCTTTGTTTATATATGGAATGTCAAATATGAAACATCCAGATCAATGGTGTAGGTTTCAATGATTCATGTTAGTTATTCATGCTGACTAGTTTACTCCTGCCAAACTGGAATAGAGAGTGTGTGTGCCTAAATGCAAACATATTCAAACTATATTTCGCTTAAGACTTTCTAATTGTAGGTAAAATTAAAGTATGAAATTAAATATATCTTTTGCATCTTGAACATGGAGGCAGTATGGTCTGTTGAGATACAATATTTCTACTGAGCTATGGGTTTGAATTTGCCTTCAAATCCGCAGCTTTTTTCCATAACATTTTCAAATAAATCCCATAATTTTTGAACCTCTGTTTTGAAGTGGGGATAATACTTTACTTGCAGAGTTCTACGGAAATTTGAGATCATGTGTACATGTAATAGATGTATTACATGTAAAGGTGCTTAATAAATGGTAACTATTTATATTATGACCTGCTATCATCTGTTTCCATTGTAGCACATATTAAGTTGGGTATTACAATTCTTTCTTTACATTCTTTTCTTCCCTAGAAGACTGCCAATCCTTCCAGAGACCCTACTCTTCCTCTCTTTGAATCCTCTGTACTTTAGCACACAGTAAGCACTGGATACATGTTGGAAGAAAAGAGAATGCACTCGTCCACTGGTTCCCTATCTCCTGGCATGTTTATAAGATTGTATTGATAGGACATGCTTAGCTACATCAACATATCTAAATTATGAGGCATTAATGAAGAGAAAAGGACTTGCCATTTCTCAGGTGTAGAGCTGAATGGAGCTGACCAAGTCACTTTCCTCAGCTGTCAATTTGTGTCTAGGTTGATAGCGTCATTTATATTTGACCTTTAGATAAAATACATATATTACTCAAAAAGGACATTTTTGGGGGCTGTGTATAAAATCTTGACACTGAATGTAGGTAGAGGCATTAAATACCTCTATTTGTAAAGATATTCTGCCCTAATGATTGAGGACAGGACCGAGGGGACCAAACATAGGAATTTATAAAAATAAGAAACAAATAAATTTTGTAATGGAAATATACTTTCCTTAAAGTCATAAGAAAAAAATTATAAGTCCATATTAGTATGTATTTGGTCCTAAAAATGTTGCATTTTAAAAAATGTGAATATCAGGTAGTTTAAAAATTGGAAGTAAAATGTGCCTCAATGCTGGTCAGTGCAGTCACTGTTTCATGATTGGCAGGCATCTGTCTCAGGAAGCTGTGGACTAGGGTAGACATGAATGTTCCTGACCGGATCTTCAATGTCTGTTTTGCTCATCATTGAACTGACAACCAGCTCAGTGATCAGGACACAGTATACATGCCAATATTTGTTGGGCTCATAGTCATCCCTTCAACTTATGCTTTTGTCTACCACCTGTGAAGGCAACATAATTTTTTCTCAGTCTACATGACAAACAACTTTACCATGGTATAATATTATTAACATGTTACAAAAGGATTATAAATGAGGAACGAGAAGATCAAAGTTATAATAAAATAAATTTATCAACTTTTAAAGCAATGCTTATCATATATTGCTTCAGCAAATAGAACAAACAGCAAGCTTTTGACATTTTCAAATATAGTTATGCTGGAGGTCACTGGAAACCCCCTTGTTCTCTTGTATTTCATTCCTTTCCTGATCTTAGATACATGTAAATTGAAGGGATAGGGAAACAGTGGCTAGAGATGCTTCGTGGGGGAGGGAATGGAAGAGAGTGGGGACTGACCTCAGAAAGCAGATGTTACAGGACTCTGGCTGCTCTCACTAAATGCCACTTATTCCACTAGCTTTTGTACTATATTTGTAGCGTTTGTTCTTGGGTCTGTAATATGTCAAGAGTCTGCAGCTTAGGAGAATGAGCTGTAATTTGAGAATCAATGAGATGTTACATTTGTGGTTCGTGATCTATTGGCATATTTATAACAAATAATTCATAATACTGTTACCTTTCATGTGTCATATTTCCATTGATTTGTGACATCATTTTTTCCCCATTATTGCACAGAAATTTTAAGTGAAAATGATGATAAATTAGGCCTTTCATTCCTCATGAGGGTCACATGCTTCATACATATTCCTGTGCATGACATCATTGTCTTCCTTACATATAATGTTGCACCGTTTTCTCTATCCAGTAGATATGCTGTAAAAAGCATTTTCCTGTTCAATTGACTAAATTTAGGTTGAACTGAGCAATTTGAAAATAGTTGCAATCAACATACTTAGAGCCAATGCCTAACATTTAAAAATTTGGGAGACTTGAAAGCTGATTTTTTAAGGGATATATGGAGATACAGCAGTAAATGAGTCTCCTGCTTTTTTCAACCCTAGAGCCAGAAATACGACCAAAAGTAGAATTAGTGACTGTCAAAGAAGGATTTAGCACATTAAGATGCTACCTACCTAAAAAATACTGGAAGAGGAATGTCATCAAGAGGTTGCAGTTCTTGCTTATGGTTACTTCAGTTATACCTTAGCCTCTTTTCCCCCTTCAAAAATCTCCTTCATTAATGCAGAGCTGGTTCCTGTGCTTGCTCTAGGTATCATTACTACGGGATTGGCATCAAAGAGAGCAGTGCATATTACCACTCCGTTTATTCTGGAAAGGGCCTAACAAGGTAGAGTTATACCATCTTCATTGAAAATTCTCTGCATTTCTTTAAATATGCATGACATCTATTGAATGACTTCCTAATTTTACTCATCGAAATGTTTTCTTTTAAGTGTCAGATCTTAATGTCAACTTTGTTTGGGCATTTATATAGTTTAGATGACTGGACAAATTATTAATATTGTAAAATATAATTCGTAATAATTAATGAGAAATTAATGCTGCACTAAGTGTCCTAGAGAGATTAAGAGGAGAAAACAAGGAGCAGAATTTCTTTTAAATTTTTATTTACTCATAAGGCTGAGTCTATTTTCAAGCTGGATTCAATAAAATAAAGGCAGAAAATGTAAACATGATTTTTTTTCTAAGAGATAATCTGTTATAAAGATCTATGTGTTTGACTAGTACCTTACCAAGATGAAAAGCTTATTGTAATAATCTTTAATCACATATACATTGAATATCACCTTCCCTTGTAAGATGAAGCTACTGACCTGTTTGGATCTCTATGAAAGGCAAAACATAAATGCAAATAAAAAGCACATTGTTCTAAACTGCTGTTAATTATCAGGAGAAGGTTATTAATAAGTAAAGTGACATCCATTGAAACCAGTGATAATATACAATTTTATTTTTTTGAAAAACACATTAAATCTACATCTGATATTGCCTTTTATGGTATGATTTACCAAGAACTGCTCTTAGCTAAGGAAGAAATTATTTTTAAAAGTAAAGTATCTATAGAAAAAAATAATTTTAGTCAC